AGAGATTTCAGATAAAAGGTTATTCACCAAGTATAACATATATTGTTAATGGTGATAGGTTCAATTTAAACTAGTGTTCGAAGAACTATCTTGAAAGGAAACAAATGAAAAACATTTCATATGCTTTTGCTGTCGGAAGCTTGATATATGCTCAAGTTTGCTCGACCTGACATTGCTTTTGTTGTGGGAATGTTGGGAAGATATCGGAGTAATCTAGGTTTGGACCATTGGAGAGTTGTAAAGAAAGTGATGAGGTACCTTCAAGTTACAAAATGTTACATGCTTATGTATAAACGGATTGATAACTTGGAGGTAGTTGGTTATTCGAATTTGGATTTCGCTGGTTGCGTTGATTTTCAAGAATCAATATTTAGATACATTTTTATGTTTGTTGGCAGAGCTGTGTTCTGAAGGAGTGCAAAGTAGACTTTGATTGCTACTTCCACTATGGAGGCTAAGTTCGTTTCGTGTTTTGAGGCCACCTCGCATGTTGTGTGGTTGAAGAGTTTTATATCATGGTTTAGAGTTGTGGATTCCATTACTAGGCCATTAAGGATATTTTATGACAATTCAACAACGATTTTCATGTTTAAAAACAACAAAAGTGGTAGTCGAAGCAAACATATCGACATTAAGTATTTAGCCATAAGTAAACGTGTTAAAGAGAACAAAGTGATCATAAAACATGTTAGCACTGAATTGATGTTAGTTGATTGTTTAACTAAAGGCATGCCACCAATGAGTCATAAGGATCCGTGGTTAGGATGAGAATTGGTCATTTCATGTAAATTTTCTTCGTATGGACGAATTTATTCAACTCTTATTTATTTGTGATGTTTTCTCAATTCTAGTATACACATTCGTTTATTCTAAGAATAAAGATCATTTTTTACCTAGAATAAACATAAGCTTTATTCATTAAGTTTTGTTATCACATATGGGCTAAATTTGAAGAGATAAGGTGCATTGTGATATATGGAAGATAATACTTGTTCTAATAGAACTTATCGCCATGATTTATGTGTTTTGTCTTCAATATGAAGTTTTTTTTACGGAGTTGATTCGATATTTCGTTTGATGAAATGTTGGGATTAAGTGGGAGAATGTTATCATACCGATCGTTGGGGGATGTTACTTTAGAAGGCATGGACAAATATGTCTCTTGACTTAGAATTCTTATACCCCGAAAAGCACACTAGCTTAGAAAATGCAAGATACGGAATGTCATTGTTTAGGTGCTTTAAAAATATACACCTCACACCATTTCTTCCCCAAATTAAAGTTGAAACAAAACAATATAATATTGGATTTCACCTTTAGTTTGGAATTTTGTGAGACCACTGCAATTGTTCTAGAAAATGGACTTGAAATATTTGAATTCATGACTTTCTGCTATGATATCAGGTAAAGTTTTTTGAGACCACCTTCAACTATTTTAAAATATTAAGATGTTAGACGAACACGTTATTTTAATAATTTAAAATTGTAACAGTTAGAAATAGGAATATAGGATCATAGTAGATGTTTGTATTGTTTATGTAATATTATGTAATCTTGGATTTCCTAACTCGTAACACTTGAATAGAGCGTAAATACATGCGTGCGGTCTCCGTGCCACGCGGTGCTTTTCTCTCCAATCACACACCTGCATTAGACCAGATCGCAAAACCCATTCAAGTGGAAACTGTGCAACAGAAAAAGCTTCAGACTTTCTGTGGAGCTAACTTGCAGGTCTGCAATGATGAAAGGGATGTAGAGTGAGGACTGATTGGACCAAACACCAACTCATCTCTTTCGGACAAATGAGATTGTTCCCATTTCACATCTCTTTCTTCGTATGAAGATGTTCTTACATCGCTAGTTCCGTTGAATCGTTCACTAAGATGGTCTAATTACAACTTTTTTATCAAACTGCAAATACAAAATGGGGCACCAGTCCGACAGCATGAATTGTCAACTAACGTGGCTGAATTGTACAGATAACTACGTCCCCATATCTCTCAGCAGTGGCAGTTCGCGTGCAATTGGGCAGTGCTTGTAATAGTGGCGTTGATTGAGTCAATTGGGCATAAAAAAAAAGGGGATATGTTTACTAGAAGTCCTAAAACTTATCACAAAAGTGCAATTAAATTCTAAAATTTGTTAAATTGGTTCAATCGAGTTTTAAAGTTAACACCGTCTAATTTACTAACGGAAAATTGTTGACGTGGCGCTGACGTGTCTTATTTTATTAATTTTCTTGATACACGTGGCGTCCAACAAGCGTCACGTCAGAAAAAGTTGAAAAAAATGTAAATTAAATTAGAAAAAGCTATAAAAAAACAAAAACAAACAAAAAAGGGGGAAAAAAAAAATCAAAACCAATGGCTGCAGCGGTGGCCAAGCCCTCGCCAGTGGCCACTGCCACAGCCGTCGGGAAGTACCGGCAGAGGTCGCTTGGGCCTTCTCGAAGCCCGGCGACCCTCGCCGGCCCCCGGCGAGTCCCCAACGAGGGCCTGTAGCCCCCGATCTGAGGAAGGCCGCGACCCTCGCCCCAGATCTGAGCGAGGGTTGCTAGCCCTCGCCTGGGGCCGACGTGGGTCGGCGAGGCCTCGCCTGGGGTGGGTGACTCTAGGCGAGGGTCGTGCCCTCCCCTAGATCGGGGGCTGCATGTTGTCGCCGGGGACCGGTGGGGCCTCATCCGGGGCCAGCGAGGGTCACTGGGCTTCGAGAAGGCCCAGGTGACCTCCGCTAGCCCTTCCCAGCGGCTAGCCAGTGGTCGCCACCACAGCCACTGGTTGGGGTCTTCTTCTTTCTATTTTTTATTTTATTTTTATTTTTTATAGCTTTTTTCTAATTTAATTTTAATTTTTATTTTTGCTGACGTGGAGCTGTTGTTGGACGCCACATCATTGCCACGTGTCTCAAGAAAAGTAACAAAATATGACACGTCAGAGCCACGTCAGCATTTCCGTTAGTAAATTAGACGGTGTTAACTTTATGACTCGATTGAATCAATTTGACAAGTTTTACGATTTGATTGCACCTTTTGCAAGTTTTATGACTCAATTGCAATTTTGTGATAAGTTTTAGGACTTTTAGTGCACATGTTTCTAAAAAAAAAAAAGTTGAATCGTCTAAAAAAGGCAAGAAAAAGTGGACGCTATAAAGGGAAAGTTAGGGCGCACAGCCAAGAAAAGAGAAAAGGAGAAAAAGAAAGAAAGGGAAAGAAGAAGAAAGAGAAAAGAAAGACATGTGGCATATCAAGAATATTGGTACATAGGGCCCATTTGGTTCAACTTTGCAAATGAGTCTTGGGGGAATGCAAATACCTTTAGATCAAAGCCCCTTAGAGAAATGCAAATGGCGTTTGGTAAAAATTCTTTGTGAAGCTACTTTGGCCTAAGTAATATTTGGCTATTTTTTATTGCAAAAGGGTTTTGGGACCCTTTTTTTATTAAAAAAAAAAGTTACCCTTCGCCGGAGTCGGCGAAGGGCTACGGCCTCCAGCGAGCCAGATCTAGTGCCGGCGGCCGTCGCCCTAGGTCGGGTGACCCTTGGTGAGGGTTGCGCAACCCAGGTGGCCGTCGTCGGGGGTCGCGCGACCTCAAGCACCTGTCGCTCAGGGTCGGTTGACTCAAGTCACCGTCACCCAGGGTTGCGACCCAGGCTGACGTCGACTGGAGTCGCGCGACCCAGGCGGTCATCGCTTGAGGTCGCGCGAGCCAAGCGACGGTGGCCTAGGTCGAGCGGCGACTGCCTGAGGCTGCTTGACCCAGGCCGACGGTACCTGGGCGGTCGCGCGACCCCCAGGCGGCCGTCGCCTGGGTCGGGCGACCTCGTCGGCCCTTCATTGTCCAGATCTGGTGTCGTCGACTACCCTCGCTGGCCGCTCTTTCGCAAAGAAGATGAACAGTAACAACAATGGGCAAAATCGGAATATTAAAAAATAAGTGGAGGCAGTTTGGGAAGAAAAAAATTAAGTTGAGCATTTGGCAAATACTTAAAGTCCAAAGTTGGTCCGGACCAACTTTGAGCTTTGAGCATTCCTAATGCTAGCTTTCAACCGAAAGCCCATTGGGAATGCTTGCGAAACGCCCTAGCATTTCTCCAAGGGGCTTTTGAGGCCGAAAGCCCCTTGGGAATGCTGAACCAAACGGGCTAATCACGGCTCATGTTGTTACCGTAGGACAATGTATTACTGACTTGCCACAGTAATTACTGGGGCTAACTGATCATACTTTTTTCTTGCTGCATATAGAGCTTCGATGTTGAATTTTCTAACTTGTCGTACGAAGAATGATATATTCGCTTGCCAAGAAATCTGGATAACTAAACATATTAATTTGTTGGGTCTTTGGAAAAGGATGAACAAGGTTGGTTTTCTAAGTTACTTCCAAAAACATATGGGGTGAGTTTTGGCATGGTTAATTTAGGGTTAAATTGAAAATGTCGTGTTTAACATTTCTTGATTTTCAATTTGTCCTAACAATTTGTCCATCCAACATTTTCGTCCTCTAAAACTCTAAAAGAAACTTGTGGCTACTGGGTAGGAACTCTCCTTCGATCTTTTCTGTCTTTTTTCTTCTTCATGGTCGCACGGCAGATTCCTGGGAAATACAAAAGTCCTCATCTTCATGCCAGCCGAAGCAATCAGCACGATTTTGCGCATCCGTAATCAGCTCTTAGCGGGGACCGAGAAAAGTGCTACACCAGACCAGAATTGACGTTCTTGACTCTCTGAAAAGTCTTCGATGACCTTGACTTAAAGATCTGTGCTTTTTTTCCTGTTACCCCAGAAAAAGGGCACAAATACTGATAGTTTCCGTAACGATAAGGATTGAGGGAGTTGGACTCTGCGTTGAGTTAGATTGGTCTCACGAATGGACTCTAGGGGAATCAACCTGATCTTAGGACTGAGGTGCATTGATTCATATTCATTCAGTACGTCCAAGTATGGCTTCAGTACGTTGGTACCATGCCCTTGCAGTTTGCAAAATTGCGGGGTAGAAAGGACGGCCCTATTCGCAGTAAGAGTGTCTTATTGTATCAGTAATGCCTAAATCTTCTTTCACCAGGACATAGAGTGCATAATAGTCCTTGATAATACTCCCAATGCTTTGGGATGGAATGTTATAGGACGGCAATAAGTTCAAGTCATTCTTTTTCCGAGCTGTAGCTCCAAATTCCACGGTCATGTCTAACTCTTCTGGCTTCCAATGAAAGTGGCAGAGCAATTGAGCAAGCGGAAGTTCAATATTGGCAAGACCAAATAATATGCTGGGACACATCCGTCTACCTGCTCCAGATGGAATGTATTCGAAGTTAGTCTCTTTGTAGGTAACTGAAGAGTTTTCATATCTCTCTGATAGAAAGCATTCAACATCATTCCATCGATCAGGATCTCTTCTGAGTGCCCACGCATTGATGATGGGCATTGATGCAGGAGCAAGCAGCATCCGGGTGAAAGCAGAGTGGCTAGTTGTTAGTCGCCTCCACTATCGTTTCTGCCGTTGCCCACCCCAGGGTCGTTAATGTATTAGCACTTCCACCTGAGAATATTTCTCGGATAGGAAACGTGGCAGGATTTTTGAGTTTGATCAATTGCTAAAAAAGAACAATGACACAAGATGGGCCAGTGAACCTTTGGAAACAAATTTTTTAAATGGTCATCCTACGGACCACGAGGCCTAAGGGAATTCATAGTTTATGTGTTTTTTTTCGAGCCTAGTTGACCATGCGATGCATGAGCACATTTCTTTTTAAGAACTACAGGTTACCCTGTATTACTACATTAATTATCTCGAGCTTAATCATGATAAAAGATCGCTTTTCTCGATCTCGGAGTATGATTAATCGCTCCGTTCCAAGCTAGCTATGATGGCAACTCCGACAAAGTCTCGGCCCTTTTCTTAGCCGGCATGCTTCTTTGGTTCGTACTAATCCTAACGAATCATATCTAAAACTCTCCCTTTTTCACGGCAAATTCTCTCGTAATTCTTGGTAAGTTATTGTACTACGAAGTTTTCTTAGTCAAAGCGGTTTATGATAACCTGGTGTACAAATTAAGCAGATCATGGAGATATTAATGTATGAAGATCAATGAATTCGATTTGAAGCATTTCTGATCATGGGCTTTCCGGCCAGCCTAGGCCTGAAGCACAAATTGAGCGGGTCTAGGCATGTAATTTCTCTTTGGCCCAGCGCATTCACCTAGGCCCACCAAGCCCATGAAGGTCCCATCGTTTTCTAAAAAAAGTTAATAGTTTTTAAATCACAGGCAAGGTTTTAGGTCCGATATTGGCTCGCCATTTTTAAACTCTAGTTCAACCAAAATCTCAGTTCGGACTAGTTCGGATATTTCAACATTGTCATTAGTTGGGGACTCTCTCCGCAATGGAGGAGCACGACAGAGATCTCTCTCAACGGAAGCACATGCAATGGTGCAAACGCTTCCACAACGAGCTGATTCGATTCGTATATAGAAGGATTAGGAAACAGAGAACCACAAATAGGAGCTTAGATTCAATTAAATCCTCAGATCTAGCTATAGGCTAATGCCAACTATGGCCTTGATTACTATCGACAACCTTTAAATGGTAAGTCAAAGCAAAATCATAAACTGCCCGGATTGTAAATCTTCTTAGCAGATGTCCTATGACATGCTAATCATCTGCAATTATAAATGGATTATGAATGTGTGTATGTAAATTTTTGTGTTGCAAGCTCTTTAACCAATACATATTGTAAATAGGAATATGTTTATTTATCTTCTATATTAAAAGATCACAAATTTAGCATTTTTTAAAGCCAAATTATATAATTAAATAATTGCTTATTATTAAACCTATATAATTAAATAGAAATGACCTCTTTATATATTACATGAATCACTTTAACAAATTTTTTTTTTTTTGTGAAATCAATGTTAGATAAGCAAGAAAAATTAAGTTTTTCCATCTGATTGGTGTAAAATATAGTGGTTTCTAAGTAATTAATGTGAAAGGGAGTGGAAGGCAATGGAGCTTTGTGAAGATGTGCCTCAAAAACAAAGTTCCATTCTACTCAACTTTCTTATTATTCATAGATGTTTCTGATTTATGTCTCACGCATGTATGATTGCAGAATGCTTTATTCAAAATGTATTCGGACTATTTAATATGTATAGCAGACAAACTTAGAGAAGTTACAGGTACTCAAACACAGAAGACAATAGATTTTGGTCGAGTATTCCCGGTTTTGGACCGTCTCTTTTACCTTCTTCGCCTTTGTTTTCTTCTTCCAAAGTTCTTCATAAGTCTCTGAGCCCTTCTTCTTGTGATCAAGCTGTTCCCGACGACCACTCCAATCACTAACCCACTTGCATACCCATGCACACGATTTTCCAGTCTAAATCCATCGCACTCTCCGAATTTTGATCTTCTTCGGACATGGGAGATGATGGCGGTGACGCTTTGGGATCTCCGCATTTTCTAGACAGAGGAGTGCCACATAGCCCCGAGTTTACCTTGTAAGAGTTGTTTTCGAATGTAGCGAACTGCCGTGACTATGGTATGGGCCCGGTCAGGCGGTTATAAGATACGTCGAAGACCGCAAACAAAGTGAGTTGCGTCAACTCCTGAGGGATCGGAGAGTTGGTTTTGAGAAAGGTCCAATGCTTCCAAATTCGTTAGTTTGCCAAGAATGGAGGCAGAGGACCGAAGAGCATGTTGTTGGAAAGGTTGAGCAATTCTAGTTGTTTTAGGCTTCCGATGGTCCCAGGGATCGCTCTGCTAAAGTTGTTGCTTGAGAGATCAATCAATGTGAGGTACTCTTGGATCTTTGAGTAATTCATTTGGATGCTTTTGGCAATGACGCTCATAGAGTAGTCAAAGATTGCGTCTGGAATGATAGCCCCGATCGGTAGCCCAATGTAGCTTGACAGATATGTCTCAGAAACTTTCATGGCAGTCCAATGCTCGAAGTATCCGGATGGCAAGCTATACCGGAAAAAATATTTTGGGATAGGTCGATGATTTGCAGCGAAGAGAACTCAATCCTATAAGTTAGTTCCCTAATAAGTCCGTGAAATCTATTATACCACAAAATAAGTACCTTCAATATGAGAAGTGAGCCCAACCATGACAGGATAACATCCGTAATTTGATTGTTTCCGAAATTCAGGAATTCCAAATTGTCACAGTTGCGGAGCAATCTCGGCAATGGCCCGAGCAATTTATTGTAACTCAGATCAAGCATAATAAGTGCACAATAGTTCCCATTCAAATTAGGAATTTTTTCGATAAAGTTGTTCCTATGTAAACTCATTACTTCCAAATTACCACTCAAATTACTCAAACATTATGGAAGAAAACCGGTCAGATTATTATCAGACAAATCAATCATCTGGATAGAGCTTAGATTGCATATTAGTGGCGATATTCCTCCAGAGAGCTGGTTATTTGAGATGAAGTAGGACAAGATTTCAGGAGGAGGAATAGGAACCGACCCTTGCAACTCGTTGAACCTGAGATCTGCTACAACAAGTTCTTTCCGCTTGAAAATAACAAGATCTTGAGCAAAACTTGTTAGGAAGTTGCCAAAAAGGTTCAAATATTGTAGGTTTTCTGTGCTCACATTTAGAAACCATTCGGGAACTTGACCAGAAATGTTATTGTAGGATAGATCTAGCGCTAACAAGTCTTCTTGATCTTGTAGAAACTCGGGGAAACCATTTAAGTTGCAAGAACCTAAACCTCGAGTAACGTACGGGTGAGTTATGTTGGCTTCGACAATCAATAATAGTTTGTTAGCACAAGTTCTATAAGGTTTTCAGCCTCTGAAAACGTATCTAACTTTACTGTGCCACTCAAATTATTTGAAGTCAATCAAGAAGGCAGAGATCCTGTAATTGGAAAATTGGGCTTGGAATTGCACCGTGGAATTGCTTGAATGACAGTACAACGGCAATCAACTGAGTGAGTCTCCCCAAAAAGGATGGGATTTCACCACTCAACTGATTCGACCGAAGTGTTAAGGACCAAAGCTCCAAGAGGTTTGTGAAAGAGAGTGAAATCTCGCCCACTAATTGATTGGATTCAAGATCTATGTCAATAAGTTGAACTAGGTTTCCAATGGAAGATGGGATTTCACCCGTTAACTGATTATAGCTTAAATCTAAACTAGTAAGTTGGACGAGGTTCCCCAGAGAGGATGGAATTTGCCCAATTAACTCATTGCCCATTAGACTTAAATACTTAAGCTGGACAAAATTTCCAAAGGAAGATGGAACTTCACCCGTGAAAGAATTGTGGGCTAGATCTAAATGCTTCAGGTGACCAAGACGTCCAAAAGAAGATGGGATTTCACCTCCAAATTGGTTGGTATGTAGACTCAAATGCCCCAGTTTCAAGATGTTGCCAAAATAAGTTGGAATGGTACCGTTAATGAATTATAACTTAAGTCTAAGTGAGTAAATAGGGTCAGGTTTTCGAGGGACGTTACTGTGCCTATCAGCCTATCATATAAGAGGTCTAGATGGACAAGTCGGTTCAAGTTACCGAGTGAATGTGGAATGTGACCCCGTGAAGTTGGAGTGGGAGAAATCCAAGTCACTCAAGGAGCTAAGATTCCCAATTGTTGGAGGAATCTGACAATTGAAGTCATTAAAGGATCTGACCAAAAAAAAAAGTCATTAAAGGCAAGGTTAAGGCTTCTTAGGCGAAGAAGACGGAAAATACTGGTGTTGGAGTGATTTTATCGGAGAGACAATTACAATAGAGGTCGAGGCCGATCACGTGACCGCTTACCCTATCACACTCAATGCCAGCCCAAAAACAGCAATTGCTTTGAGTTTCCCCCGTCGATGTGCTCCAGGATTCAATCTTTGCTTGCTCATTTGAGGTGGTGTTGGAACAGCACTGAGGCTTTCTAGTGAAGAAGGTTGCCTTGAACTCCAACAATGCAGATCTCTCGTCTTCGTGCCAACGTGGTTGGGTTGAAGCAAGAGAGTGTGAAGCAACAATGGTAAGCAAGAGTATCAGATAGCTGAAGTGAAATGACTCTTTTTCCATGTTTGCCTTAGCAAATCTAGTGGTACTCTCAAACTCACTCTGCCGACTCGGGTGTACATGAGGCCTAATGATGGAGATGTTGTATAGCCAAGTTCTTCTGCGATGTCATTTTCACGCTTTAATCTAATGCAGTGAGTTGATTATGATCAACTGATCCCGTTACCACGTTAATGTTAGAATGGGTTGACTAGATAGCCTTCTAAAACAGTCCATAACGTCCTTCGCAAGGCGTTTTGGAGATCATGACCTAGTCCTGAGACCGACTGCAAAACTTAATTGCTCTGTTATAGATAACGCCTCAAGATATGGACTTCTTGACTCGTCCAAGGATGCATTACAAAAGAATAAATCGAAGTCCTAAGAGTTGCTGTTGTCCTCCTAATTTCCAAGTCATTCTTTAAATTTCTTTTCAACTTTGTTTGGGCCACATCTTTGGGGGATGTTACTTTAGAAGGCATGGACAGAGATGTCTCTTGACTTTGAATTCTTGCACCCCAAAGAGCACGCTAGTTTAGAGAATTCAAGATACGGAATGTCATTGTTTAGGCGCTTTGAAAATATATGCCTGCAGAAGTATATAGTACTGGATTTCACCCGGTTATTTTAGAAATTAGTGAGACCAATGCAACAGTGTATTACTCACTTGCCATAGTAATTACCAGGGTTACCTTATCATACTTCTTTCATGCTACATATGGAGCATCGATGTAGAATTTTCTAACTGGTTGTAGAAATAATGAAATTGTAATTGCCAAGAAATCCGATTAACGGAATATATTAATTTGTTGGGTCTTTCGAAAAGGATGAACAAGGTTGGTTTTCTAAGTTATTTCCAAAAACATCTGCGGTGAGTTTTGGTATGGTTAATTTAAGATTAAGTTCAAAATGTCGTGTTTAGCACTTCTTGATTTTCAATTTATTCTAACAATTTGTCCATCCTACATATTCTTCCTCTAAAACTCTAAAGGAAACTTGTGGCTACTGGGTAGGTTCTTGATCTTTTCTGTCTTTTTTCTTCTTCATTGTCCCACAGTAGTTTCCTGGGAAATACAGAAGTCTTCATCTTCATGCCAGCCAAAGTAATCAGCACGATATTTTCATATCCGTAGGCAGTTCTTAGTGGGGACCGAGAAAAGTGCTAGGCCAGACTAGAATTGATGTTCTTGACACTCTGAAAAGTCTTCGATGACCTTGACTTAAACATCTGTGCTTTTTTTTTTTTCTGTGATCCCTGAAAAAAGTCACAATACTGATATTTCTCATAAGGATGAGGATTGAGGGAGTGGACTCCGTGTTGAGTTAGATTGGTCTCACGGTGGACTCTAGTGGAATCCACCTGATCTAAGGACTGAGGTGCATTAATTCAAATTCATTCAGTGCATCCAAGTATGGCTTCAGTACGTTGGTACAATGCTCTTGCGCTTTGCAGACTTGCAGGGAAGAAAGAATAGCCCTATTTGCAGTAAAAATGTCTTATTATAATATATATATATATATATATATATATATATATATATTTGGTAACCGAGGATCCGCCACCATTCCCCGGGGACGAGCCCGCACAGGTAATCCGGGCGCCCCTATACCTCGGGAGACTAGCCCAAAGAACCCACCGCCTGGGCCTCCCACTTAAATTACGGAACCGAACAGGGGATTCGAACCCTTAACCTCTCGAGGAAAGGAAAGCGCCCACCAACTCGGCCATGCGCAGGTGGGTGAATGTCTTATTATATTAGTAATGCCTCAATGGCAAAGTCTTCTTTCACAAGGACATGGTGTGCATAATAGTATACTACTCTCAATGCTTTGGGATGAAACGTTATAGGATGGAAATTAAGTTCATATCATTCTTTTTCCGAGCTGTAGCTCCAAATACCACTTTAATGTCAAACTCCTTTGGCTTCCAATCAAAGTGGTAGAGCAATTGAGCAAGTGGAAGTTCAATATTGGCAAGACCAAATAATATGCCGGAACACATCTTTCTACCTGCTCCATATGGAATGGAACCGAAGTTAGTCCCTTTATAAGTAACTGAAGAGTTTTCGAGTCTCTCTGATATAAAGCATTCAGCATCATTCCATTGATCAGGATCTCTTCTGAGTGTCCACGCATTGATGATGACTATAGGTTTTGGCCGTATTTCGTATAACGAAAGTGCATATCTGTCCCTCAACTCTCTTGTGATGAAGGGCATAGGAGGATGCGAGCGTAGAGTTTCTTTAATGACTAGTCTCAAGTGTTGGGGATAATATCCACGTGAATCGAAAAGGAAAGAAAATGAAATCAGACTTTGAGGCGTAATAACACTCTTTTTAAAAAATTATTTGCCTCACAACGTTGCTAATGGTTACTGGCAAAAATCCTCCGGGATATAATAAAGTCTCGAATGAAAATATCAGATAACAATTTTGGTACTTTTCTAGAATCTCTCAAGGAAAACAATTGGAAAAGATGGTTGTATTGTTTTTTTTTTTAAAGAAGTACCAAAAAGTAAGTAAAAGAGACTTGAAATATATGAATATGTATATTTCAGTCTTTTTGAACCAAATGCAACCTTTCGGGAGAAGTTGCATTGTCAAAAGATGCCTTCTCAAAAGACATACAAAAAAATAAAAATTCGGATTAAAATAATAAAAATTATTCCGAATTTTATAAATTCTGAAAAATAATCTTTTAACAAATACAACCTTTCAAAGATGAATGAGTTATGTCTGAAAAAGCACCTAATAACCGTTAGGCAAAAATAATAGACAAAAATAATAAAATTCAAAATTAATAACGTGGATTAGTGCAATTTGTTTCTATTGCTAAGTGTGCCTTATCTTCAATTTAACAAGTTAGAAGACATACACACTTATATAGTAGCCCACACAATCAAAACTTTTCTATGTGGGACAAGGAAAAGCACTAATTTGTTTGTTTTACAAACAACCAACCAGCATCGAGTAGTGTAGTGGCTGGACGTCTTGCTAGTGGAAACTCTCTTTTCCTCAAAGAACTTGCGGAATTTCAGCTTGAGCTCTCTCCATTACTCGGTCAAAAGTGTGGAAAAAAAAAGAAAAGAAAAAGAAGACCACGAGAGATAAAACGAAGAAAGAGGACAGCGCAGCTTCGTCCAGCGAACAGAGAAATGAAGAAAAGAAAGGTTTTCGCGTACATGTCACGGATACCTTGTCAAGCTGGATTAACTTCGTTTCGTAACGTCAATAAGATTCAAGCTCTTTGTTAATCTAATTAGAGTAATTATCGAAGTTAGGTTATTAATTCGAAATTACTTGATATTTGAACTGCAGGATCCGATTTAGGAGTTGTTAAACTGTGGAATTACATAGAAAAGATATATTAGGACATTGTGGAATTATCTTTCAGTCTTGGAATGCAATGAAGGCTCTTATCATATGGAGTAACGGTTCAGATGGAGCGAAATTTTAAAGTTTTGCGTCGCGTTGCGGACAGCTTTAAATATATGCTTTGAGTGACTGTTTTGTTAGTGTGTAAAAGTCGTTTTGTAAGCGATTAAGCTTAGTTTACTTGATTCATAGTTTAGGTAGCAAATTGACGGTGAAACTTGTCCAGAGAGTCTGTTATACGAGACATGATAGTGCAAGACTGTTGTCGGGGGACTTCAGGCGGTCCTTGCTGCTTGTTGAAGCTGCAGTCTAAAGTCGGAGCGTTGTACATTTGAAAACATCATGGGTTGCAAAGAGCCCATGAGGGAGTTAATAGAAAGTTTCGGAACCAATTGCTTTTCTTTACTCACATCTAGGAACGATTCTGGTACTTGACCAGTGCAATGCCCCGAAATCCACTTGGCGTCTGTTGCGGACCCTATACCAGGACCTCCATCTCCTGTCTCCCAATTTAGGCGAGCCTGCCATCACTATTGGTGAATCAGCCTCAACGTTGAGTAAGCAAAACACCGACTAATATAAGTATGGCATGACATGGTATTTTGGAAAGAAAGTGATAGTGTTTGGAGCATTTGTTTTATAGAATCCTGGATCGGACATTGACTAAATTTTCGTTTCTAGGATTCGCATTGTGATTTGGTTGTAAACTCTAATTATGACTGTACATTCGGTTGTTTGACAGTGGTATTGTCGGACTTTGTGTTATCGTATATTTATATTGCAAGCTCTTTGACCAATACATATAAGAAATAGGAATGTATGTTTCATTATCTTTTCTTTTTTTTTTTTGGTAACCGAGGTGTCCGGGCCAGCTTGCGCGCACCTCGACTATTCCTTGGGGGAGACTAGCACAGCAACCCACCGCCATGGCCCCCCACTTAAATCACAAGTGCTCAGCTGGGGAATCGAACCTGAGATCAGTGCGCCTAATCACACAATCCCAAGTACGCCCGAACCAACTGAGTTACCCATGGGTGGGATGTTTCGTTATCTTTTATAACAAAAAATTTCAATTGTCTAATTTTTTACGACCCAATATATATAATTAAATGATTGCTTATTATTCAACACATATAATCAATTAGTAATGACCCTTTTATGTTTTACATGAATCACTTTTAAGAATTTTTTATAGGGATATCGATGTTAGATAAATAGAAAAATTAAGTTTTTTAACATATTGGCGTAAAAATTATGGTTTTATGAAAGGGAGCGGAAGAAACGGAGTTTTGGGATAACGTGGCCCAATAGTTTCATTTTCTCCGATTTTTTTATTATTCATAGACGTTTCTCATTTATATCCCACGCATGTATGATTACAGAATGCTTTATTTAAAATGCATATGGACCAAGTTAAGAGAAAGTTCCAGGTACACAAAAACAGAAGACGAAAGATTTCGGTTGAGTATTCATTGGTTTCGGACCATCTCTTCTACCTTCTTCGCCTTTGTTTTCTTTTACGAAAATTCTTCACAAGGCTCTGAGCCCTTCTTCTTGTGATCAAGCTGTTCCCGAGGACCACTCCAATCACTAACCCACTTGCATACCCCATGCACACGATCTTCCAGTCTAATCCCATTGCGCTTCCCGAATCTTGATCTTCTTTGGATGGAGGAGACGATGGCGGCATTTTGATACCTCCGCATTTTCTAGATAGAGGAGTGCCACGTAACCCCAAGTTTCCCTTGTAGGAGTTGTTTTCGAATGTAGCAAACTGTTGTGACTGCGGTATCGGCCCGGTCAAACGGTTATAAGATACATTGAAGACCGCAAGCAAAGTGAGTTGCGTCAACTCCTGAGGGATCTCTCCTGAGGGATGGTTTTGAGAAAGGTCCAATGCTTCCAAATTGGTTAGCTTTGCCAAGAATGGAGGCAGAGGTCTGGAGAGAATGTTGTTGGAAAGGTTGAGCAATTCTATTTGCTTTAGGCTCCCAATGCTCTCAGGGATCGCTCCGCTGAAGTTGTTGCTCGAGAGATCAATCAATGTGAGGTACCCTTGCATCTTTGAGTAATTCATTTGGATGCCTTTGGCAATTACTCTCATGGAGTAATCAAAGGTTGCGTCTGAAGAGAAAATCCAAGCCCGCTTAATAGCATCCCCAATGTAGCTTAACGAATTTGTCTCGGAAGCTTTCATGGCAGTCCAATGCTTGAAGTATCCGGATGGCAAGCTACCGGAAAAATTATTTTGGTACAGGTCGATGATTTGCAATGTAGGGAACTCAACCCTATCAGCCGGTTCCCCTATAAGTTCGTGAAATCTATTAGCCAGTTCCCCAACAAGTCTGTGAAATCTATTATACCGCAATATAAGTACCTTCAAGCTGAGAAGTGAGCCAATCATGACGGGAAAACATCACTAATCTGATTGTTTCCGAAATTTAGGAATTCCAAATCGTCACAGTTGCGGAGCGATCTTGGCAATGGCCCATGCAATTTATTGAAACTCAGATCAATCATAATAAGCGCACAGAAATTCCAATTCAAATTAGGAATTTTGTCGACAAAGTTGTTGCTCTGTAAACTCATTACTTCCAAAGTACCACTCAAATTACTCAAACATTGTGGAAGAAACCCAGTTAGATTATTATTAGACAAATCGATCATCTGGATAGAGCTTAAATGGCATATGAGTGGTGATATTCCTCCTGAGAGCCTGTTATTTGAGATGAAGTAGTACCACATTTCAGGAGGGGGAATAGGATCCGATCCTTGCAACTCGTTGAAACTGAGATCTGCTACAACGAGTTGTTTCCACTTGAAAATAATGGGGTCTTCAGCAAAATTTGTTAGGAAGTTGCCAGAAAGGTTCAGATGACGTAGGTTTTCTGGGCTCACATTCGGAAACCATTTAGGAACTTGACCGGAAATGTTATTATAGGACAGATCTAGGAAAAACAAGTCATCTTGATCTTGTAGAAACTCAGGGAGACCATTTAAGTTGCATGAACCTTAAGTTAAAGAATTAAAGCCTAGATCTAAACTATTCGGGCGACCGAGATGTCCAAAAGAAGATAGGATTTCACCTCCAAATTGGTTGACATATAGACTCATATTCAGTTTCGAGCTGTTCCCAACTTGAGGTGGAAGTTTACCAACTAATGAATAATTTCTCGAGTCTAAGTGAAAAAATATGGTCAGGTCTTTGAGTATTGTGACTATCGGCCTATTATTTGAGAGGTCTAGATGGACAAATTCGGTCAAGTTACCAAGCGAATGTGGGATGTGGCCCATGAAGTTGGAGTCGGAGAAGTTCAAGTCCCTTAAGGAACCAAGATTTCCAATTGCTGGAGGAATATGACAATTGAAGTAATTGAAGGCAAGGTTAAGGCTTCTTAGGTGAAGAAGACGAAAAATACTGGTGTTGGAATTGATTTTACTGGAGAGACAATTGCAACTGAGGTTGAGACCGATCACGTGCCCACTTACCTTATCACTCTGCCAACTCGGGTGTACATGAGGCCTGATGATGGAGATGCTAGTTATATAGCCAAGTTCTTCTCCGATGTCATTTTCATGCTTTTGTCTAATGCAGTGAGTTGGCTATAATCAACAGATCCTGTTACCGCGTTAATGTTAGAAGGCATGGAAAAGATGTCTCTTGACTTGGAATTCTTGCACCCCAAAGAGCACGCTAGCTTAGAAAATGCAAGATAAAATATGTCATTGTTTAGGTGCTTTATACTCCCGACGCCATTTCTTCCCCAAATAAAAGTTGAAACAGAAGTATATAATACTTGATTTCACCCAATTAGTGTAGAAATTTGTGAGACCACTGCAACTGTTATAGAATAGGGTTCCAAAAGATTTGAACTCAGGGATTTATAGTCTAATAACATGTAAAGTTTTGCGAGATGACTCTCAACAATTTAAAAGATTAAGCTACTAGATGAATGCATGGATTCAATAATTTAATATGCTAATGGTTAGAAATAGGAATAGAGGATCATAGTAGATGTTTATATTGGTTATGTCATATTCTGTAATCTTGGATTTCCTATCTCGTAAAACTTGAATGTAGTGTAAATACATGCGCGCAATCTCCGTGTCAGGCGGTGTTTTTCTTTCCAATCACACACCTGATCAGCCAGAGACCAGATGACAAAACCCATTCAATTGAAAACCATGGAACAGAAAGAGAGCGTCAGACTTTCGGTTGAGCTGATTTGCATGCCGGCGATGACGAAAGGGATGCAGAGTGGGGACTGATTGAGCCAAACATCAAGTCATCTCTTTTGCCGAAAATGAGATCATTCCCATTTCACATCTCTTTCTTGGTATGAAAATGTTCTTATCGAACTGCAATTACAAAATGGGACACCAGTCTCACAGCATGATTTGTCAAGTATCGTGGCCGAATTGTACATAAAACTACGTTCCATCTCTCAGCAATGGCAGTTCGCGTGCAAATGGGTAGTGATTGTAATAGTGGCGCTGACTGAGTCAATTGGGCAGCCAAAAAAAAAAGTTGACTCGTCTACAAATGGTAAGAAAAAGTGGACACTATAGAGGGAAAGTTAGGGTGCACAGAGAAGAAAAGAGAAAAGGAGAAAAAGAAAGAAAGGGAAAAGAAAGGCAAGTGCTATTTCATGGCATATCGCCAGAGGTGTGTTCTTGGAATATTGGTACATGATCACAGCTCGTGTTGTTACAGTGTATTACTTACTGACTTGCCATGTAATTACTGGGCTGCCTGATCATACTTTTTTCTTGTTGCATATGGAGCATCGATGTAGTATTTTCTAACTTGTCCTAGGAAAAATGAAACTGTCGCTTGCCAAGAAATATGGATAACAAAACATTTTAATGTCTTGGGTCTTTTGAAAAGGGTGAACAAGGTCGGTTTTCTATTTTATTTCCAAAAACATATGGGGTGAGTTTTGGCAACTTCTTGATTTTCAATTTGTTCTAACAATGTGTCATCCAACATATTCGTCCTTTAAAACTCTAAAAGAAGCTTGTGGCTACTGGGTAGGTTCTCTCCTTTGATCTTTTCTGTCTTTTTTCTTCTTCATGGTCCCACGGCAGATTCCTGGGAAATACCAAAGTCCTCATCTTCATGCCAGCCTAAGTAATCAGCACGATTTTGCTTATCCGTAATCAGCTCTTAGTGGGGACCGAGAAAAGTGCTAGGCCAGACCAGAATTGACGTTCTGGACACTCTACAAAGTCTTCGATGACCTTGACTTGAACATCTGTGCTTGTTTTCCTGTTACCCCAGAAAAAGGGCACAATACTCATAGTCTCCGTAACGATAAGGATTTAGGGAGTGGACTTTGCGTTGAGTTAGATTGGTCTCACGAATGGACACTAAGGGATCCACCTGATCTTAGGACCGAGATGCATTGATTCACATTCATTTTGTGCATCCAAGTATGGCTTCAGTACGTTGGTACCATGCTCTTGCACTTTGCAGACTTGCAGGAAAGAAAGAATAGCCCTATTCGCAGTAAGAATGTCTTATTATATTAGTAATGCCTCAATGGAAAAATCATTTTTCAAAAGGACATGCAGTGCATAATAGTCCTTGATACTACTCTCAGTGCTTTGGGATGAAACGTTATAGGATGGCAATTAAGTTCACGTCATTCTTTTTCCGCGCTGTAGCTCCATATACCACGGTCATGTCTAACTCTTCTGGCTTCCAATGAAAGTGGTAGAGCAAGTGAGCAAGTGGAAGTTCAATATTGGCAAGACCAAATAGTATGCCGGGACACATCCTTCTACCTGCTCCATATGGAATGTATCCGAAGTTAGTCCCTCTGTAGATAACTGAAGAGTTTTTGAATCTCTCTGATATAAAGCATTCGGCATCATTCCACTGATCAGGATCTCTTCTGAGTGTCCACGCATTGATGATGACTATAGGTTTTGGCTGTATTTCGTATAAGGAAAGTGCATATCTGTCCCTTTTAACTCTCTCGTGATGAAGGGAACAGGAGGATGCAAGCGTAGAGTTTCTTTTAAGACTAGTCTCAAGTTGTGAAGTTGCTGGATGTCTTGCTGGTCGATCCTCTTTTTTCCTCAAAGAACTTGCCAAATTTCAGATTGAGCTCTCTCCATTACTCTCGGGTTCTACACCATTTTGGCCATCGCTCTTTCAAGGGTCATGGCTGATGTGATACGAGGACTTAGGGTGCATTTGGAATTGGCTTTGCCAAGCGGCTTTGGGCATTCAAAGCTACTTGGGCTAAATTTTGGTGTTTGGGAACAATTTTAAAAACTCCCCGTCAGCAAAAGTGAGCCTTGTGAAGGCTGAAAGCCCAAGGTAGGTCCTAGGCTGCCTTGGGCTTTCAGCTTTCTCGGCATGCAAGTCTCCCAGATAAGTAAAAAAAATTTCTTCCGAAACTACCCTCATCTACTTTTTGATTTTCCGGTTTTGGCTTCGTCTGTCATTGTTCATCATCTTCTTCGCTTACACCTCGGCAGGCGTGGCTATGAGGGGACGTCGACCGGCCGGAGGGGGGCCGGCGTGGTCGTGCAACCCAGCGACCGTCGCCTAGGCTCGCAAGACCACCGTGAGGGGCCACGCGACCCAAGCGAGGGCCGCCTGAGGTCGCGCGACCTAGATGACCTTTGAGGGCCACTAGCGACCCAAATCTGGCGCTGCGCGGCCATCGTCTGAGGTCTTTCGACCACAGACGACAGCCACCGGCACCAAATCTGGGTCGTCGGCGGCCGCCTGCCCTTCACCAGCTCCGGCGAAGGGTTTCAACTTTTCATAAAAAAAAAATGAAAAAAAGTGCCTTGCAAGTATAATTTTTCCGAATACTATTTTACCCAAAGTTACTTTGCAATGGACTTATTTGCATTTTATTAAAATCCTTCAACTTAAAGTCCTTTACATTTTTCCAAAGACTTTCCCCCAAAGTGTTCCCAAACGCAGCCTTAGACTCGGTCAAAAAGTGTTGGCAAAAAAGAAAAAAAGAAAAAGAAGACCACGAGAGATGAAAGAAAGAGGAAAGTGCAGCTTCGTCCAGTGAACAGAGAAAAGAAAGAAAGGAAGGAGATAAATGAAGAAATATAAGGTTTTTCCCGTACACGCCACAGAGATTTCAAGTTGGATTAACTTCGTTTTGTAACACCCGTAAAATTCAAGTCTTTTGTTCGTAAAATCAGAGTAATTATTGGAGTTGGGTCATAAATTTGAAGCTATGTGATGTTGAATTGCGAGATTCGATTTAGGAGATGTGAAGCTGTTAAATTACATGAACACGATAGATTAGGATATTGTGGAGCGTGAAATTTGACAGAAATCTTTTATGGTCTTGGAATGTAATGAAGGCTCTTATAATTTGGAGTAACTTCAAGGTCACGTGTTCACACTTGGAAATGCTGACACAATGCCCACCGTGTCTATTGTGAAACTGTTGCTTGAAAGATCGATGAATGTGAGAGAATCGTAGATCCTTGATTACTTTAGTTGCGGGAGCCTTTGTTGGTCATTATCACAGAGTAGTCGAAGGGCGTGTATCGTGGGCAGAACCTGTGACAGAGGTTCTTGATGCGATTTATGATTTACATATCTGTGTAGTCCAAAATAGTCCGCTTGATCTACCGCTGCAACTTTCATGGCAGTCCAACGCTCAAAGTACTTAGATGGCAAGCTACCGGCAATTGTTCTGGGATAGGTCGATGATTTGAAGCCTCGGGAAACTAGAGTTGCTTATAAGTTCCCCAAATCACCCCGCGGAATCTGTTATCATTGATTTGGTCATTTAGGAACTCCTACACTTCACAGCCTGCAAGTGCCAGGGTAATGGCCCTTGGAATTGATTATTACTGAATTCAATCAGCATCAATTGCACACTCGTTTTCTTGACTTGAGGAATTCTCCCTTGGAAGTTGTTGCTTCATAGGCTAATCACTTCGAGAGTGTTTACTCAGAATGCTCGAACATTGGTGGGAGTGCACCGATCAAGTCGTTGTAAGACAAATCGAGGGCATGTATGGAGCTCAATTAGGAAAATTGACAGCGAAACTTGTCCAGAGAGTCTGTAATTCGAGACAAGATGTTGCAAGACGGTTGTAGGGGGGAGTTAAAGCGGTCCTTGCAGCTTGTTGAAGCTAAGGTGTAGGGTCTGGAGCATTGTCTATTTGAAAACATCAGGGCGTTGCGGAAAGCCCGTCAGGGAGTTGGTAGAAAGGTTCTGAACCAATAGCTTCTCTTAATTCACGTCTAAGAACCATTCGAGTACTTGGCCAGTGTAAGCCCTGAAATCCACGAAGCTTCTGATGTGCACTCCTGTCCCAGGACCTCGATCTCCTATCTCCCAAATCTTGGGCAATCGGCCAATACTATTGGTGAACTAGTCTCAACGATGAGTATATAAGATAAGCATGGGATGACACGGTTTTCGGAAGAAGCACGAAAGTGTTCGGAGCATTTGTTGTGTAGAACCTGGATCATACATTGACTACGTTTTCAACATTGTGATTTGTGTTGCTTTTCATATTTAAAGTAATGTGAACTTAGTTTGATAATTGCTTTCTGAAACGGATTGAAAATGTGAAATGCTTCGCAAATGTGATAAGTGATTTGGCTTGTGAACTCTGATTATACAATGAGTTATGACGGTCCATATGGTTATTTGAAAGCAGTATTGTTGGACTTTGAGCCATTCTACATTTATGTCGCAAACTCTTTAACCAACACATGTAAGAAATAGGAATGTATGTTTCTTTATCTTCTATATTAAAAGATGTCACATTTTCTACTTTTATGCCGCAATATGTGAAATTAAATAATTGCTTATTACTCCACATATATAATTAATTAAGTACCGACCCCTTTATGAAATTAAATATTTTTTTTAGTGATATCAATGTCAGATAATGAGAAAGATTAAGTGTATTTTATATGATTTGTGAAAAATATAATGGTTTCTAAGTAATTAATGTGGAAGGGAATAAATTTCCACTCGAAACAAGCGTTCATCGTATAAAATTATTTTCTTAAGATATTCACCAAACATCATGACAGATTGGAGGCCTACCAATCAACCATCGACTCTGATACCAATTATTGGAAGTGCGTACTAAAAGCCCTATACCTTCACTTAGGGAGATCGCTAAGAGAGAGCCCAAGTTCGAGCGCGTCAATATATCAAGTTAGACCCACCTTCACTCAAAAACTTAAGCAAATGAATTATGGGCCAATTAGGATATATTAATTGCTCAATACCACATCAATTTTCCGATGTAGAACTTTTCTAACATAACTCATACATGTATTTCAACAAGTCGAAGGGTGAGGTATCGGGGCAGAACCTGTGAGAGAGGTTCTCGATGGGATTTATGATTTACGGATCTGGGTAGTCCAAAATAGTCCATTTAATCTACCGCTGCAACTTTCATGGCGGTCCGACGCTCAAAGTACTTTGATGGCAAGCTACCGGCAATTGTTTTGGGATAGGTCGATGATATGAAGCCTCGGGAAACTATAGTTACTCCCAAGTTCCCCAATCACCCCGTGGAATCTGTTAGCTTGCAAGATCAGCACGACGACAAGTGAGCCCAACCAGGATGGAAAAGTATAAATGATTTGGTCATCTTGCACATTTAGGAACTCCTACTCTTCACATCCTGCGAGTGCCCCAGGTAATGATTAATGGCCCTTGAATTGATTATAACCGTTCGACCAAAAAAAAAACAGAATTGATTATAACTGAAATCAATCATCATCAATTACACACTCGTTTTCTTGACTTGAGGAATTCTTCCTTGGAAGTTGCTTCATAGGCTAATCACTTCCAAAGTGTCACTCAGATTGCTCAAACATTGGTGGTAGTACACCGGTTACGGCGTTGCAAGACAAATCGAGGACACGTATGGAGCTCAATTCGCAAATGACGGCGAAACTTGTCCAGAGAGTCCGTTATACGACACAAGATAGTGCAAGACGGTTGTCAGGAAGACTTCAGGCGGTCCTTGCTGCTTGTTGGAGCTGCGGTCTAAAGTCTTAATCGCTCTCCATTTGAAAACATCAAGGGGTTGCAAAAAGCCCATTAGGAAGTTAATAGAAAAGTTCAGAACCAATAGCTTCTCTTTACTCACATCTAAGAACCATTCTGGTACTTGGCCAGTGTAACGCCCTGAAATCCACTCAGCTTCTGTTGCGGACTCCTATCCCAGGACCTCAATCTCCTATCTCCCAATCTAGGCCAACCTGCCTTCTCTATTGGTGAATCAGCCTCAACGCTAAGTAAGCAAAACGCCGACTAGTATAAGATAAGCATGGCATGACATGGTATTTTGGAAAGAAAGTGAAACTGTCTGGAGCATTTGTTTTAAAGAATCTTGGATCGGACATTGACTACATTTTCATTTCTAGGATTCGCATTGTGATTTGCATTGCTTTTCATATTTAAAGAAATGTTAATTTAGTTTAGTAATTGCTTTCTGAAACAAATTAAAAATGTGAAATGCTTCGTGAAAGCGTTACATCAATTTGGTTGTGAAATCTAATTATGATGATACATATAGTTGTTTTAAAGTGGTATTGTTGAATTTTGTGTTATTGTATATTTTTATTGCGTACTCTTTGACCAACACATATAAGAAATAGGAATGTATGTTTGTTAATCTTCTTTATTAAAAGATTTCACATTTTGTATTTTTTATGAGCCAATATATTTAATTAAATGATTGCTTATTATTCAACACATATTATCAATTAATAATAACCCTTTTACATATTACGTGAATCACTTTCAAGAATTTTTTTTAGGGATATAAATGTTAGTTAAACAGAAAAATTAAGTTTCTTTTTAACATATTGGTGTAAAAATTTATGGTTTTATGAAAGGAAGTGGAAGGAACGGAGTTTAGTGATAACGTAACGTGGCTCAAAAGTTTCATTCTACCCGACCTTTTTGTTATTTATAGACGTTTCTCATTTGTGTCCTCCAACACATGTATGATTACAGAATGCTTTATTCAAAATGCATATGGACTAGTTAATATCTAAAAGAGAAAAACTTAAGAGAAAGTTACAGGTACTCAAACACAGAAGATGAAAGATTTCGGTTGAGTATTCCTTGGTTTCGGACCATCTCTTCTACCTTCTTCGCCTTTGTTTTCTTCTGCCAAAGTTCTTCACAAGGCTCTGAGCTCTTCTTCTTGTGATCAAGCTGCTCCCGAGGACCACTCCAATCACTAACCCACTTGCATACCCCATGCACACGATCTTCCAGTCTAATTTCATTGCACTTCCATAATCTGGATCTTCTTCAGACGTTGGAGATGATGGCGGTGACGCTTTGGGATCTCCGCATTTTCTAGACAGAGGAGTGCCACATAGCCCCGAGTTTCCCTTGTAGGAGTTGTTTTCGAATGTAGAAAACTGCCGTGATTGGGGTATAGGCCCAGTTAGACGGTTATAAGATACGTTGAAGACTGCAAGCGAAGTGAGTTGCGTCAACTCCTGAGGGATCTCTCTGGAGAGCTGGTTCTGAGAAAGGTCCAATGCTTCCAAATTCGTTAGGTTTGCCAAGAATGGAGGTAGGGGACCGGAGAGCATGTTGTTGGAAAGGTTGAGCAATTCTAGTTGCTTTAGGCTTCCGATGGTCTCGGGGATCGCTCCGCTGAAGTTGTTGCTCGAGAGATCAATCAATGTGAGGTATTCTTGGATCTTTGAGTAATTCGTCTGGATGCCTTTGACAATTACCCTCATAGAGTAGTCAAAGGTTACGAATGGAGAGAAATCCCAGACCGACCCATTGCTATGTCCAATGTAGCCTGACGAATCTGTCTCAGAAACTTTCATGGCAATCCAATGCTTGAAGTATTTGGACGGCAAGCTACCAAAAAAGCTGTTATGAGATAGGTCAATGATTTGCAGCGTAGGGAACTCAATTCTATCAGCCGGTTCCCCAATAAATCCATGAAATCTATTATACCGCAATATAAGTACCTTCAATCCTGGAAGTGAGCCCAACCATGAAGGGAAAACATCTTTAATCTGATTGTTTGCGAAATTAAGGAATTGCAAGTTGTTACACTTGCGGAGTGATCTTGGCAGTGGCCCTTGCAATTTATTGTAACTTAGATCAATCATATAGAAGCTCCCATGCAACTGAGGAATTTTTCCAATAAAGTTGTTGCTCTGTAGACTTATTACTTCCAAAGTACCACTCAAATTACTCAAACATTGTGGAAGAAACCCAGTCAGATTATTATCAGACAAATCGATCATCTCTATAATGCTTAGATTGCATATGAGTGGCGATATTCCTCCAGAGAGCCTGTTATTTGACATGAAGTAGTGCTGGATTTCAAGAGGGGGAATAGGAACTGATCCTTGCAACTCGTTGAAACCGAGATCTGCTACAAAGAGTTCTTTCCACTTGAAAATAACGGGATCTTGAGCAAAACTTGTTAGGAAGTTGCCAGAGAGGTTCAATCTATAGAGGTTTTCTGTGCTCACATTCAGAAACCATTTAGGAACTTGACCGGAAATGTTATTGTCGGATAGATCTAGCAAATGCAAATCATTTTGTTCTTGTAGAAACTCAGGGAAACTATTTAAGTTGCATGAACCTAAACCTAGAACCAAGTACCGGTGAGTTATGTTGGTTTCGACGATCAATGACAGTTTGTTAGAGGATAACACAAGTTCTCGAAGGTTTTTAGCCTCTGAAAACTTATCTAACTTCACTGTGCCACTCAAGTTATTTGAATTCAAATAAAGAGTGCTGAGACCCTGTAATTGGAAAATCGTGCTTGGAATTGCACCATGGAATTGGTTGAATGAAAGGTGAACGTCGATCAACTGGGTGAGTCTCCCCAGCGAGGATGGAATTTCACCACTTAATCGATTTGACGCAAGTGTTAAGCACCTAAGCTCCTGGAGGTTTTGGAAAGAGAGAGGAATCTCACCCGCTAATAGATTATATCCAAGATCTATATTGACAAGTTGAACTAGATTTCCAATGGAAGACGGGATTTCGCCTGTTAATTGATTAAACATTAAATCTAAACTAGTAAGTTGGACGAGGTTCCCGAGAGAGGATGGAATTTGCCCAATTAACATATTGGCTCCTAGACTTAAATACTTAAGCTGGACCAGATTTGCCAAGAAAGATGGAACTTCACCCGTTAAAGAATTGCCGCTTAGATCTAAATGCTTCAGGTGACCAAGACGTCCAAAAAAAGATGGGATTTTACCTCCAAATTCGTTGAAGGATAGACTCAAATACTCCAGTTTGAAGATGTTGCCAAAAGAAGATGCAATCGTACCATTTAGTAAATTGTCACTCAAGTCTAGATGGACAAGTCGGGTCAAGTTACCGAGCGAACGTGGGATGTGGCCCATGAAGTAGGAGCCGGAGAAGTTCAAGTCAGTCAAGGAACCAAGATTTCCAATTGCCGGAGGAATATGACAAAAGAAGTCATTGAAGCCAAGGTTAAGGCGTCTTAGGCGAAGAAGACGCAAAATACTGGTGTTGGAGTTGATTTTACCGGAGAGACAACTACAACTGAGGTCGAGGCCGATCACGTGACCGCTTACCTTATCACACTCAACACCAGCCCAAAAACAGCAGTCGCTTTGAGTTTTCCCTGTTGATGCATTCCAGGATTCAATTTTTGGTCGCTCATCTGAAGTGACGCTGTAACAGCACCAAGGCTGTCTGGTGAAGAAGGTTGCCTTGAACTCCAACAGCGCAGATCTCTCGTCTTCATGGCAACGTGGTAGGGTTGAAGCAAGAGAGTGTGAAGCAACAAGAGTAAGCAAGAGTATCATATAGTTGAAGTGAAATGACTCTTTTTCCATGGTTACCTTAGCAAATCTAGTGCTACTCTCAAACTCACTCTGCCAACTCGAGTGTACATGAGGCCTGATGATGAAGATGTTAGTTATATAGACAAGTTCTTCTCCGATGTCGTTCTCATGCTTTACTCTAACGCAGTGAGTTGATTTTAATCAACAATCCTACTGTCTGTGTGGGCCAAAAACAGAAAGAAAAAGAAGACCACGAGAGATAAAAGAAAGAAAGAGGAAAGTGCAGCTTGGTCCAGTGAACAGAGGAAAGAAAGAAAGAAATGAGAGGGAAGAAAACAAAGATTTCTCGCGTGACGTGAGGACTTTGACTCGGTCAAAAGTGTGGGCCAAAAAAAAGGGAAAGGAAGACCACGATGGATAAAAGAAAGAATGATCAATATTAAAAAAAAATTCAAACTGGTATATTTATGATAAATTTATTCTAAATTAATTTTTTGATCACCAAAAATTCAAAACTGGTACACATGTGACAATTTCATTCTATGTTAGGCTCCGTTCGTTTGGCGGAAAATATTCTTCTTTTGGAAAATATTTTCCCGGAACATAATTTTCCGGTGTTCGGCGACCAATATGAAAAAGTTTCTAAAAATATTTTTCGCCGGCGACAGCGGCGGCGGCGGCCGGCGCGGCGACCGGTGGCCGGCGCCGGCGGCGGCGCCGCGGCCGCGGCCAACGTCCGGCGGCGGCGGCGGCGTCGGCGGCGGCCGGCGGCCGACGGCCGTGGACAGCGGCGCGACGGCTGGGCGAGCTGCGGCGAAGGCAGCGGTGGCGGCGGCCGGCGACCTGTAGTGAAGAAGAAGAAGAAGAAGCTCAGGAAAATGATTTCCGCTTTTGAAGAAGCGGAAGTCATTTTCCATAGACTTAGGCTATTTTGTGAGGGGGGAAGGAAAATATTTTCCCACAGAAAATGTTTTCCGCCCCGAACACCGGAAAACCCGAAAAATATTTTCCGGGAGAATATTTTCCGCCAAACGAACGGAGCCTTAGTTTCCGTTTAATTTTACCATCAAATTTCTAAGTTAGATGACACATGACGGTTGACGTGTGTACTAGTTCGGGGTTTTACTCTCCGTTTGTCATAGGTGTATCAGTTTGTGATTTTTTGTGATATTAATCCAGTTTAACAGAAGGTAAATTTGTCACAAATGTACTAGATTTGGATTTTTGGTGGTCAAAAAATTAGTTTTTGGTAAATTTGTATCAGGTGTACCAATTTAGGATTTTTCGTGGTATTAACCCAAGAAAGAAAGAGGAAAAGCACAGCTTGGTCCAATGAACAGAGAGAAGAAATAGAGAAAGGAGAGGGAAGAAAACAAAGATTTCTCATGTTCACGCTATGCAGACCTCACCAAGCCAAGGTTAGTAAGAATTCAAGCCTTTTGTTCATCTATTATCGGAGTTAGGTCATCAATTCGAAGTTATGTGATATTTGAGCTAGGGGATCTGATTTAGGAGTTGTTAAGCTGTGGAATTACATGCAAATGATAGATTAGGACGTTGTGGAGCGTGGAATTTGACAGAAATCTATTTTGGTCGTGGAATGTAATGGAGGCTTTTATCATTTAGAGTAACGGTTTAGTTGGAGTGTAATTATCAATTGAGTCTTTCAAAAAGGATGAACAAGGTTGGTTTTCTAAGTTATTTCCAAAAACATCAGGTTTTTGGCATGTTTAATTTAAGGTTAAGTTCAAAATGTCGGGTTTAGCACTTCTTGATTTTCAATTTGTCCTAACAAATTCGTCCGCTAAAACTCTAAAAGAAACTTGTGGCTACTGGGTAGGTCCTCTCCTTTGATCTTTCCGTCTTTTATTCTTCTTCATGGTCCCACGGCAGTTTCCTGTGAAATACAGAAGTCTTCATCTTCATGCCAGCCAAAATAATCGGGAAAAGTGCCAAAAAAGTCCTAAACCTTTTGCATTAGTGCCAATTTAGTCCTAAACCTTTTTTTGGTGCCAATTCAGTCCTAAACCTTTTGCATTGGTGCCAATTTAGTCCTAAACCTTTTTTTGGTGCCAATTAAGTCCTAAACCTTTTAAATTGGTGCCAATTCAGTCCTAAACCTTTTATTTTTGTGCCAATTTAGTCCTTCCGGTCAATTTTGACCGGAATTTCTTGGCGTGGGCCTTTGGCGGCCGGCGGCGAGTCACCGCGCCGATGTGGCGCTGACGTGGACAAAATAAATAATATTTTAATATTTTTTTGAATTTTTATTTTTTTCCTTTTTTTTCTTTTTTTTTCCACTTTTTTTTTTTGGTTTCTTCTTCATCGGCCGGTCGCCGGTCCGGCGACGCGGCTCAGGCCGTGGCGGCGAGCTCGACCTCGCCGGCCACTAGGAGGGCGGCCTCGCCCCGCGAGGCCGAGCCTCGCCATGGTCGGGCGAGGCTCGACCTCGCCGGATCCGGCAAGGTCGAGCCTCGCCCGGCCGCCGGGCGAGGCCCGACCTCGCCAGATCCGGCGAGGTCGGGCCTCGCCCGACCATGGCGAGGCTCGAGCCCTCGCCGGAGGCTGCGGCGAGGGCGAGCCTCGCCCGACCATGGCGAGGCCCGACCTCGCCGGAGGCGCGGGCGAGGGCGAGCCTCGCCATGGTCGGGCGAGGCCCGACCTCGCCGGATCTCGGGCGAGGTCGAGCGTTCGCCAGATCCGGCGAGGTCGGGCCTCGCCCGACCATGGCGAGGCTCGCCCGACCATGGCGAGGCTCGCCTCGCCGGCCTCGGCCTCGGCCTCGCCGCGGGCCGGGCGAGGCTCGACCTTGCCAGATCCGGCGAGGTCGAGCCTCGCCCGACCATGGCGAGGCTCGGCCTCGCCGGGCGAGGCCGCCCTCCCGGTGGCCGGCGAGGTCGAGCTCGCCGGCCACCGCCCTGGCGATCGCCGGACCGGCGACCGGCCGATGAAGAAGAAACCAAA